TAATATTATTAGTAATAATATACATTGTAAGTCTAAATTAGCTTACAGTATGTATATTAAAGCTTATTTAGCAAAATTTTTACATAATTACAATGTAAAGTACGAAGCTGAAATTTGATGTATTGTACACGGCCTAGGCCTTTGATGATGATAGCAAACAAAGCCGATTCGGCGATCATCATCACGTCACATTGTAAATTGAATGGTTGTTTTTCATGTTATCGACTACAATAAAAAGCTAAATTTATTATGTTGGTTGTTATTATGTTGATATACAACTGTGTGTACTCATTAATAATACTGTCAGGCCCCGAAATTGGTATAAGAGGACCAAGGCAAAAATTGCCAACGTAAATTTGACATTCCTCGGCAGTTTTTGTATTTTGAGTTTCAGCAGGTTTCAGACAGCATATGATTGTACACATAAATTCGTGGTTTACGAAAATAAAATCTTTCCAAAATTGTAAGTGTATTTGTACTCTTGAACCAGGAAGCGGGTCACGACAGCAAGCTTGACTTTTGTGTTTATGTATAATTTTACTGTTTTATTAATAAAAGTAATTAACTTGGTACATATGTCTGTATTTCAATCATTAAAAAATTATTAAATCATTGTTAAACTTATATAGGCCTATAATTAATGAGCTAGAAATATTTGTACTCTTTTCACTCAACTCGTGTCACACTTGAAGACGACGGTGTACTGTGTATGAGGCCTACGTCAAAAACATGCAGCAATTCCCTCCAAACCGTTAAATCGGGTTGAGTCGGCCCCGATCGAGCGTCGGTGAAGAACATCTGAAGAAAGACCACGTTGTAGCGAACAAGTGATCGGCAGTGACGGCGCCAGGACCTGCCCGACGAAGGGGCTAATGGCCCCCGGTGAAGCCACGGATATTTGACAAATTATGACAAATTTTTATTACTTATTTGATAGGCATCGAGCTACTATAATATGATTTCATGTAGGCCATGTTTTCTAATGTCGAAATCAGCTTCCAAAAACAATTATTTTGATAAAACAAGAAACAAAGAGTATGCAATGTAACCATCAAATTTATTTTCAAATCCTCATTCTTGAAAGGTAAATTCTACATTTTGGAAATTTTGCATGAAATCTGTCAACCACGCTGTTAAGCTCGCTCACGATGTATTTCAAGCATCATGAGGCTATCCAAACGAGCATTTTTACATAGCAGAACGCAAATTATTTTTAATTAGTCTCATTGAACTATTATTTCTTCATAGCAGAACGCAAATTATTTTTAATTAGTCTCATTGAACTATTATTATTATTATTATTATTATTGTAATGAAAAGTTAACACAAATAGTTAAATTAAATAATTGTTTTTATTTGTTTATTCACCGACAAAATTTACTCGTCTACCCCTAAGGGGGGTTCTATAGCCCAGCTGGGGGGCAGCCCCAGCGCACCTCTGGCACCACCACTGGTGATCCGCCATACGAACGAAGTATGCTTTGAAGCAAGAGAAGTAAACAACCTCCTCCGTCATAATATACCATGAAATATGTGTGTATATATTTTTTTTAAGATACTGTAATTAAACCCCTAATCATCACTAATATTAAGTCAAAACAAATTTGTGCCGAGCGGCCCAATCGAGCGAAGAACATTGAGAAAGACGTAGAGAGCATGTGATCCACCTTACTGCGACGTATTCTAGCAAAAAGTAAACAGTAATATGAATGTATTTTGTGTAGGATATTTAATCATCATGAATAAAGTAAGTCAAAACAAATAGTTTTAATGTTTTATTTAAAAACATTTGCTGTATGTGTAGCAAGTACGGGTGGTATGGGGTGGATGCAGAGAATGGGGCCTAGCTAGGTCTAGGCCTACTCGCATCCTCGCATAACGTGATACTGACGCTATTTTTGAGGGCTGCTAATATGTTTTGAATGTTTATTTAAAAATTATACTCTCCGAATTTCCAGCGTATGATTCCCCTAGGCCTTAACTGAGAATATCGTAAACCCGTTTATACATTTTTTTTTGCGAATATCAATAATAATATTTTTTGAAGGAAGACGATTCCATAAAGAATATAAAAAGAAGAAGTTTTATTTGTTTTTAAGGCGGAGGTTGCGATTAGATTCTGGAAAAAAAAACATAGGCCTATTAGGCGTATGTATCTATTCTTTAAATTTTATTAGCCCGTATTACCGGTGTTCGTAAAATAACTTACATCTTAAAACTAACTCGCTAATTGTTAGCCTGACAATAGAGAGAACGGGCATGCCGCGGATTACGTAATACTTTACCTTTAGAATAAACAATTTTTCTGATGTACTCGCTGTCCAACGTGGACCGCGCACAGGGAGTTCCGACTTTTAACAAGAAGTAGATGCTAAACAATGACATAATGGACCATTCGCAGAATATGTACGCTCGAATTTTCCACGAATATTTTCCGCAGAAATTACGCGATTAATGGCAGTAGATTTCTGGATGGTACTGTATATGTGCTAAGTGCACTCCCATTGACCATATCAGCTCTTGGATAGTTAGTTGGTCAAGACATTCAAGGCAAACACCACCACCTCTTTCTACCATTCTGATAACCTCTTTCTACCATTCTTCTGATAAGAATGATAATTCACTATCTGGAAAAGTGTCATTTAGCCATGTTTTAGTTAAGGAACAACATTTAAATAATTTGTAAACATATGACAGCTCAGTTCCATGTCCCCATCTTATTTTTAAGCTCCTAACATTTTGCTAGTACACATTTAAGACATGCATCCTGCTTTTTTCTGCTACTTGAAACATTAGATCCAGGCCAATACCTACGCATAATTATCTGGACATGAAATGTACGTACAAATATGAAATAGCTTTCCCAAGAAATAGGTTTTCACACCGGCCACACAATCCGAGCGTTACTAGCTTGGATGTAACAGAGCTGAGTAAGTAAACAATGTAGTAAAGCTGAAACTTGGGATAGCATGTTAAAAATCCAGTCATTGGCCTCTTGAACAGGATCACCATGCATATTGCAGTATAAGAGTGCATTCCTGCTACACATTCTGGCCTAGCTTATCACATAAATTTTCAGCATTCCAATTAAAAAATGTTGGACTGAAATTCTTCTAAATTAGTCGTATCAGTGTACCATTGTGTTGTATCTGCATCAAAAGAATGTCTGGCATTGGAAAGAAAAAAAAATAGTAAAAGAAAACAGTCAGTACTGCACACCATCCAGCAGCAAAATGTATGTTTATGTGTATTTGAAAACATTTTTTGGTTTTACGATACCTTTAAAAAAAATGTTTATGCCTAACTAGTTTTAAAAATATAATTTTTAAGACACTGAAGTGAAATTATACTGTAGTACAACATCTATTACGTGTCCTGTTATGTGGTAAACACATGGTCAAATTTCAGTCATTGGCCTCTTGAACAGGATCACCATGCATATTGCAGTGTAAGAGTGCATTCCTGCTGCACATTCTGGCCTAGCTTATCACATAAATTTTCAGCATTCCAATTAAAAAATGTTGGACTGAAATTCTTCTAAATTAGTCGTATCAGTGTACCATTGTGTTGTATCTGCATCAAAAGAATGTCTGGCATTGGAAAGAAAAAGAAACAGTAAAAGAAAACAGCCAGTACTGCACACCATCCAGCAGCAACATGTATGTTTATGTGTATTTGAAAACATTATATGTTTTACGATACCTTTAAAAAAAATGTTTATGCCTTATAGTTTAAAAAATATAATTTCTAAGACACTGAAGTGAAATTATACTGTAGTACAACATCTGTTACGTGTCCTGTTATGTGGTAAACACATGGTCAAATTACTGGCAGTGATGTGTTTTGCACACAATTTTACTCTGTGGGAATAATGTGTTATGTTGTAAACAAAAACAATGGCATAAAAACACCTATCCATACAAACACTAACAATGTAATGTAAAGTTCTTTCGCTGACAAGGAAGAAAAAACCGTCACATTGTTTGGCAAATCGCTAGAAGTTGTCCAACATTTGAAACTGCTTGGCGTATTTTTTTCTCATGATTTGTCTGGGAATGAACACTTAGCCAATGTGTCTACCAACTGCAACCAGGTTGGTGCATTTTCAGTAATAAAAAGGGAAACATGCATTTGACTGTGTATCTGACTGCATATCTGCCTATTTCGAATAACATTTTTTTATATTTCTAAAAATTCTTTTAATGCCAACATTAAAAGTACCATTTTCGTGCAGCTAGAAGTGTCATATTCTAAAATTTTCCACCTGAGCCTTAAACAAGAAGGTGGGGCCGATAGCTCCAAACAAGATGGTGGGGCTGATAGCCCCTGTAGTAAATTACCATTCCTTGCCTTAGTGTAACATATTTAATACATAGAACATTCTAGAATTACATTTATGTGATCAAACAAACAGTGTAAACCACATTTGTAATTACAGGAACACAAAAGACCGTGTAGAATCCAAGAGAAATGTTTGGAAGGTTCTCAATACTGAAGTACTGTAGGAACAAAAAGCTTATTTGTTAATTATGATGTAATGTGATTAAAGTTGAAACTTAGGTAATATATTATGCTCTGGAATTCTATGATTCACATATATAAGATAACAGGTTTTTCTTTCTGGAGCTATTTATTTGAATTGGATGTTAATGTGAATGTTATTGGTGTTATTTTTGAGACCGGATTCTTTTTGGAATTTACATGGAATAAAAGTTTATTTGAGAGTTGTGTTACAACATTGTGAAATGTTATATGTCAAAGAAGAGATTAGTTGTCATTTCTTAACCGCTCAGAAATATGTCAAGTAAAAATTCATGACAGCCTTAAACAAGAAGGTGGGGCTGAGATGCGTGTACTCTCAAACTGCGTACCCCACACCCCCCTCCCCTTTACACAAATTCCTGGATCCACCCCTGTATACAACAAATAATTTAAATATTCCTGGCTTAACACAAACTACCTTCAAAATATTCGTTAAATCATTGTAATTAAAATATTACCTCTCCATAATCATCAAATTGTTTTCCAAATGATTTTTTGGCAGTTCCTCCATAGCCAAATCCATGCATATCAGTGCCTAATGAAAGAACAAAAATGATAACTGAATAAAATGGTTTAATTGGTATGAACACTGAATGAGGAAAAAACAGAGAAAATCTCATAGTTTTTATTTTTGATTTTACAATATTTGTTCCATAATTGTAGACATTTTCTTTACTTGCTCTTTTTCTATAATTATCGTGTTCCCACATAAAGTAGTATAAAATTTTAGTGAGCCAAGGGCTATCTTTATTTCACACCCGTTTATTCTTTAAAGGTGCGTTTTCATAACAATTTGTAAAGACTTGTCTTCAAAAAATTTAAGAGCATCATTTACATTTGAATAAAAACTTATTTCATACCAGTTTATATTAACATATCAATGAGTAGTTCTTCCTGAACTATAATTTTTTTCATTTTTTTTTTTTTTTGTGTTTTGTTTTTTCATCTTTACCAATAATAGTCATAAACTGCAGAATGATCATTCATTTTTTATTTGGAAATGATGTGTAGATATGATCTATTAAGGCCCTGCTTTGTTTAGTTATTTTTGTCGGTTCATTTATAATTTGCATTAAAAAGTGATTATTGGTGATTGAGCAAGTAGGATTTTGTGAAAGCATGTCAAAATTTACATCACTTCTTAGGTTACAAACAAAAATAATAATATCAATTGAATTATTACTTATTATATATCTAATTTCATCAAAATTACTTGGAAAGAAACTATATTTAAACCTAGAATACTTAATACTATATTATTAAATACTTTGCAATTTCCTGTTAATAATTGCTTATTGTTTAAAGTTTCTTCTGTTTTTGAGTTCTTCAGTCCTGTTAAGTGTTTATTTTATTGTTTAAAGTTCCTTCAGTTCTTGAGTTTACATTGTTTGTAAAAAATTGCTGTGTTAGTTGCCACCTCTACCCCCACCCAATAATACAAATGTAGTTCATTACTTCTAATTATTCTCAATATTTGTCCAATCCATTATCTTATTTAGTGAATACTGTAAAGTAATATTGCGGGAATGTGACCAGCTTTCATTTCAGATATACGCTGGCAACAATGCAGTAATATTACTAGGTCTATAATGGAAGGCTGCGTAACCCTAATGCCGCAATTACAGATGTCCAAAAAGGGGGCCCCGATCGAGACAACACTGAATAACTTTAGAGGCGTTTTGGGCGATCAATAATTTCTTTTTATTGACTTTCCAAAAGAAGGGGGAGGGGGCAGCCCAACCAAATGAATCTGCCCGTGCAAACCTTTTGATACAAAAGGCAATGCTGGGAAGATTACCGCAATATTGCAGTAAAGCATTTCTGTATGAAAGTGGCTAAAGCGAAGGAGAGAAAAAAGAGAGGTGGGACAGAGGAGGAGGGTAGTGTAAATAAAACAATGATTGAGAAAAGACCAAAAATATTTTAAAATTATTTGAAAATACTATTCTTTGATACCATGGTTCTTACCAAGTTGTAATTTAGCTTCAGATGTTGACCATCCAACTCGACATAAACCTTCATCAGTCACTGTTGCTTCAAAGTAGTATTTACCTGCAAAAAAAAAAACATTTACAAGAAATACATATTAATTCATTTGAATAAAAGGATGAAATGTACCTTTATTAATGCAACTCCTATATTTTTTTATTTTCTATTTCTTTTTCAAAGAAAATAATATAATTAATGCCAAAATATCATTTTGTTCTATCTTTTCAATATTATTAATGAATGACTAAAATAGAAAAAAAATTATTTAAAAAACAAAACAAAGTTCCTTAATTAAAATTTCTGTAGCATTTTTAAAAACATTTGAAGTAAAATTGATGCATAAATTAATTGTAGCAAAAAAAAATAAATAAAAAAACACAGTTTTATTTTCTTTTCAAAAATCCTTAGTAGGAAAAAACTTAAATAATATACTTTCAAAAATATACGATCGTTAGCATGTCGTGTGCAGGCAATGATCACAAACTGCTTCAAAACTAAACTGCCAATGCATGTCCATGCGCATGCATATAGTCAATGTCATTCAATTGGAAATATAATTGGTGTTCAGATGAGGTGCAACATATCTATGTTTGGGCACTTTCCCTTTGATGTATTGTAATAAATTACCATTCCTTGCCTTACATTAATACATAGAACATTCTAGAATAATATTTAATTGATCAAAGAAACAGTGAAAACCACAGTGGTAATTTTAGGAGAACATGACACCATGTAGAATCCAAGAGTAATATATGGAAGCTTCTAGAATCTTGCGGTACTATAGAGGCAAATAAGCCTAATTGGTTAATTATAATGCAATATAGAATGATCTTGAATGCTCTGGAATAGTGCAGCTACTGTAGGGTATATAAGCTGACAGTTTTATCTGTCAGCTCTTTTTGAAACACATGCTTATGTGAATGTTATTGTATTATTTTGATACCGGATTCTTGTTGGAGAATAAAAGTGTTTTTTTTTTGTTTTTTTTTTTGAGTTGTGTTGCAACTTTGTGAGCTGTGTTTTATATTTTATATGTCAAAGAGGGATTCCTAGTCATTTCTATACCGCTCGGAAATACGTGAAGTAGGAATTCATGACAGTATATTGATTGATAACATATATTGATGTATTGCTAATTTTTTTATATTTTTGAAGTTTTGAGTGTTAGAAATAAAAATTAATATATACATAGTTTCAGTCTTCCATTCTTGTTTTAATATCACGATTATATAATTGGTCAAATTATGAGAGAAAATGGTTGAAATATCTGTTCACTATAGTATACTTGTTAAAATAAAAATTTTTTAAATATCAAGTTTTGACAAACAATGACAACTTTTTGTGGTTTTTCCCCAAAAACGCACCTAAAACAACAAGGCACAAAAACATGTTTTGTATCAATAGATAGACAATTTTATAAGCTTTCATATGATGTGCAATGTAATTGTATTTGGTATATTACACATATTCTATATTCCCGATTACTATTTCATAGTATAATTGACCGGAAATGACCTTTATTAACAGCCTCTGATTCATTATTCCAGCAGACATGTCTTGTCAGACAAGCAGTTCCAAAACCTACATAGAATGACCTTTCCAAAAATACCAATTGAACATGTGGTCATTTTCTGCAAATAAATGGTCCCTGGCTACTGGATTATTATTACATTTATGGCCAATAACACTTAATTGTTAATACTATAGTTACATTTCATTCTTTCATTCAATTTAAATTTAGCATGCTCTGCTGCCTTCCCTTTCTCTTCTTTCACAAGCCATTCAACTTTTCTTGTAGAAGCGGGGTCTTGCGCTCCTCAAATTAAGTTCTGATGCTTGATTGAGCCGATTTACTCATTTTGGCAACACCAACCCATTAAAGAAATAGGCCCAATCGCCATCTTTAATTTGTTGCTAAACAAAGACGACGAAGAATGGCGGCGTATTATGCATTAAAAGGCATGGTTTTTTATACTAAAATGCTAAAATTCTAGTTGAAGATGCAACATAAGATATTGTTAGGAGCACACAGTAGCAAAAAATATGATTTTTGAAGTACAAGTACATTTCGAATATTGTACAAACAAATCTGTTTTATGAATGACCATTTTCCTTGTAGTCAAAGCATTGACTTGCCAAGCAGTTTTTAAAGCAAAGTCGTTAAAAAAAAATCCATCAGTTAAGTATCTAATCAAGCTGATTTTCCCTGGCGTTTGTCCTACCACCCTGACCGGGACTGTTGTAGGGCCTGAGGAGAACCCCTGTAGAAACATACAGTACCTTTATTCTAATATTGACCCTCCCCCCAAAGTTGATGCCCCTGATTCTTATTGCTCTATTGAGTACTTATCACCCACCTGGTAGATCTGTCCATATGATGGGAATACCTACATAATTTACTAAATAATAATACTAAAAAATATACTAGCAGTCTGTTATTTGAAAATCTAAAGTATTCACCTAGCTTAATTCAAAAGACATTAATAAGTTTACTAAATAATGCATAGCATATTGTACAATGTGTCCCTGTGTATTGATAACACATGTTAATTTATTTAGGCTACATCTTTTTATAGGCTATGTATTTCACAATATCCGTCAACTCGTAAATATAATAGGTGCACATTCATTGTTATTCATATTGCATTATATACGGTAATATAATTTTGTTCCTGTTTCTTGCATTTCCATTTATTCATGGAGGAATATGCATACTGTATCCCATACATAACACATGTTTTATATAATTAGCATGCTGCCATTATTTTATAGCAAAATGTTGGGTTTTTATAGTTTTAATCTTTACTAAAAACGGCTGTCTTTTTCTGAGATACACATAGTAAGTTTTAAACAGTGATTTTTATTTTGACTTTTTACTACTAATTTTAAATTGTTAATATCTTAACGTATTTATCGTCATTGCCAAGTTGTTGTTGTGTTGTTGTGATTTTTAATGTAATTTTATCCTTCTTAACCAAGACTGTTGCAAAGGAAAAACAAATTCCTATTTTAAAATGTACAATAAAGTGTTGTTGAATCTAGAATCTTTTTTTAGGTATTTCACAACATCAGTCAACTTATTATTCATATTGCATTATATAATGTGTTTCTTGCACTTTATTTATTCATTCATTGAGGAATAAGCATCTCATTTCATATATTTATGAAATTGATAAGAAATTTTGAACAATTTATTTTTATATAATTTTTGCAATACACTGTGTTTCATATTATTTAAAAAACTAATTGTGAATTGGTCATTTTTAGATATAGCATTCTTAACTTGAATGATGACTGCACTCTCGAAAAAGGACCCATCGGAACCCAGTTTCACCACTCTGAAGTGGCAGGTTCGAGGGAGGTCCCAGCCGGCCCCCTCCAAATTTGAATGTGCAGGTTATGTTTGATTGCGTCAGAGAAAGTAGAATTTGGCTTAAAAACGATATTGAGTTGCACATTATTGGTCCGGCCAAAACCGGACAAGCTGAACCGCTTCCAACGCCCTTGGAAATAAATAGAGATGGTTAAAATCAAATGTAAGGAAAACAGCCACACATTCCAATTCTCTATAACCACAACACAACCTCCACAACTATCGCCACATTACTGAACTTAAACTAATACTTAATCACTAAACCCACATCACAGGCCTGAATAAAGACAATGATTTTTTATCCGTGATCATAACTTCCACAAATTATAATACTGATATATAATTTGAAGAACACACATGGATTTACAACGACTTGCTGTGTAGCAGCAAGTAAAAGAATAGAAGACGTATGCTTCATTAATCTTTGGATAATGCAATTTAAAAACTGTAGAACAAGGTTACTTAATTTGGATCCAAACAAGTCATACAGTATATCTTTAATTGTATTATTACCTCGTTTACAAACACCCTTGTTTGATCTTGTTCCTTGCCATGATTGTTGTTCTCTGCTCTGACACAGAAGACCTTCCTCATCAATTGCTGAAAAAAACAAACACCACTATTAGTAATATAACTATAAGCTTTATTTAAAACACAGAAAACTTGGCTCAACAAACAGTTGTTATCCTGCAAGGCTGTGAACATATGCAAGGTATAGAGACAATAATTTAAAAATAACTATCGAAGCCAACAAAAAGTCAGTCGACTACCTAGACGTAACACTGGATCTAAGAACCGGTACTTTCCGACCCTATACTAAGCCAAACAACACACCACTTTACGTCCACCGCGACAGCAACCACCCACCGTTGATAATCCAGAATATCCCGCCAGCCATTAATAAACATCTCTCGAATATCTCATCAGACGAAGAGTCGTTCAGCAAAGCTACACAACCTTACCAGGAAGCCTTTAAGTGCAGCGGGTACGATTACCAACTAAAGTTCAACCCTGAACCCCCAGCAAAGAAGAGATCGCGGACAAGAAATGTCATTTGGTTTAACCCGCCCTACAGCAGAAATGTAGCCACCAACGTTGGGAAAAAGTTCCTGCAATTAATAGAAGAACGTTTTCCACGAGACCACAAACTTAATAAAATATTTAACAAAAACACTTTAAAACTAAGCTACAGCTGTATGCCCAATGTAAAAAGTGTAATTAACAATCACAATAAAATAGTACTGTCCAATGAAAAAACCAAAGCTGTGGACACTAACATAAATGCGTGTAACTGCCGTGTAAAATGTGAATGCCCACTACCCGGCAAGTGTTTAACCGAAGGCATAGTAGTATACCAAGCAACTGTAACAAGAGAGGACAGAAACAAGCACGAGACATACATAGGCTTAACTGAAAATCAGTTCAAAACTAGATTTAGAAATCATATGACTTCATTCCGAAATGTAAATAAGAGAAACAGCACAGAGTTAAGTAAATATATCTGGTCCCTTAAAGAATCTAACTTAGAATTTACTGTTAAGTGGAGAATTATGAAACGCTGAAAGCCATATTCAAACACGACTAAGCGCTGTAATCTTTGTTTATGAAAAGTATTTAATTATATGTCATCCAGAACTATGCTCACTCAATAGCAAGAATGAGTTAGTGTCAACTTGTCGTCATAGAAAGAAATATTTAATTAGCAACAGATATACAACAGTGAACAATAGGCCTATAACATAATAAATGGTCCGACTCCCTGATTAGCCATATAAATTATACCGCGTTCACATGTCTTGGGTCGCTCGCGGGCGAACGATCGGCTCGCGAGCCGGGCCTTCATGTGAACAACCGCTCAAGAGCGGTTTTTGTTGTGGGTGACCCACGACAAGCCGCTCGCGAGCGGCTCTCGATGCAGCTCGCTCTTGATCCATGTGAACAGCCGCTTGCAAGCAGGTCGCCAGCGAGCTGTGACCTCTTTTGTGTGAAAGCCAATCAGATACAAGTATCTCCCCGGGGTCAAAGTAACGGAGAAAAGTGTGACTTCACGTTTCCTGGTTACCGGTTTCGCTGGGCCAAACAAACCTTGATCGGCCATTTTTTTTTTGCTTTTGTTTCACAGTGCACTGAGTTTTGTAGTACAGTATTTGATATCGCTATTTCCGTAACTTACATTGTATAATCCAGTTTTATTTTGGGAAGACACTAATACTAAATAATCTATTTACCATATATCGTAAGTGCATCTTCATTTTCGAATCATAAGTTACAAAAATTATCATTTTAATATCTTCCGGAGCGTAGGTCTAGGCGTCGGTACACCGCGATACGTACGTCATATCATGACTTAATTGTTTGTAGAAAAAATGTACGAGACAATATCCACGAGTAATATTACTTTTAAGTTAGTTGTTATGTAATTAAGTAACTTTCAAGTCTACATAAATGGTAAATACCACGCCATTCGTAACTCTACTTCAGCCAACGTCAAGAGAGGCCTAGGCCTCACTAGTAGAGGCCTGTATGTATTTCAGTGAGCATCCCTGTTGGGATCGGCGGTGCGGTGCTAGCCCACTGTTTAGGCCTAGCTGTAGCCTGTATACGTAGTATTGAATTTTATCTCCTATTTTTCTAAATATACACAACAGTTTAATATATTTATCATTATATTTTTCTGCAGATAGAGTAAGCAGTCAGCGCAGGGATTGTGTCCAGAAAATGGTCCACTATTTTGTTCCTCAGATTGCAATCATCAGTGTCAGATGTAAACCATTTTAGATTCTCCTGAAGACCTAATAGAGAAAAAGGATGGATAAAGCCGGCCCGATTCAGATTAATGTTACTTACAGTAGTACAGTAGAACCTCGATTTTACGTACGGTACGGGACCAGAGGGCGTACGTAAATCGGGGGATTCGTAAAATAGAGGTTGGGTTAAATTTGTGGTAACCTTTGACCTAATACGTACGTAACGCTC